CTGAACAGATCTTTGTCTCTCTCAAAAATGACCTCAAATGAGAAACTAAAATCTAACAATGGATACCACTTGTTGTTATAGACAGGTACTATAGTAACAGTCTGTTCTTAGTAAAACAGCAGCATCCCAGACTCAAGATTTACTAAGGGAGGTTAAGCAGCAGGACCCACCTGCCATTCTTTTGTTCCACTTATCAGATGGGTAAGTACAAAAAAGTCCTCATTCACTTGTAATGACCCCCAATCATTATGATTAATGATCCACAGATTTATTTAAGAGATGTTAGAAAAATCAGACAACAGAATTTGAACAGTTTTTATGCTCTCCAACACAAAACAATACGTAATTTCTTTAGTACGTACACAGACTCCTTATTGCAAAAAGGAACCAAACCACACATCGTAAATACTTACCTGCCAAAGAAATAAAGTATTTTAAAAGTTTTCACCAACAAGGTTTTTAAATTTAAAAAATCCCACATTAAAAAAAACTCTCAGCTTTACTGCTCAATACTCAAGTTGAACCAGCAGTTACTGATTTTTCCCCACCTCAGTCCCTCCTAGTAGGAAAGCACACTGAATTTAGGTGCAGTTAAGTTATGGGCATAGCGCAGCTCATCTTCTTACCATGAGGAGAAAGAGTGATAGTGTAAAAGATTAATACAAACATCAATAAAAAAATACAAAACTGTCTTCTATTCATTCCAAAAGTCTTAGTGTAATTTCAGGTAAGAATTCAGCTTTATAGTTTTATTTGTAGTACTGCACTTATGATAAAGTATGGGGTTTTCTTCTTATTCATACTTGGATATTAAGAAAATAAACTTTAACTAAAACTTTATTAGCATCAGAGATTTTAAATTCCATCTGTACATTGTTCATTCAGTCGAAAGAAATTTCTGCATACTGACAAAATGATCTCAAACTTCATGATGAGAGCATGCTCACAGCTACTGAATGACAATATTATGCCAGAAGAGAGACTGCAATTTTAATAAAAATCTCTATTGGTATATAAAACCTAAAAAATACAAGCCACATCTTTAAACTAATTTAAATAAATTTTAGATTATTTCCCCTGAATAATTAAAATAGTTCCCAAAAAAAGCCCAAAAGTACATGAAATGTTTCCCATTTAAGAAAGATTCTTCACATGTTTCTCCTGACAAATACCTACATGCTACTGGACATTCACAGGCATGCCCAGTAAAAGGCACATCTGAGAGTAAAATTACAGATTGTAAGCCTTCTTTATGAGCAGATTCTCTCCAAAGGAATATAGTTTTGAAATGTTAATGTTTTTTCATACCAGTCAAAAGTACTTTTTATTAAATACAAAGAATGAACACACTCAGTTCAGAAGTCCTTAGTATAAAAAGTGGACATCGATCACATATCGTGATTATTTTTCCTTGTTCTTTCAGGGAGCAGAACTGTAAAAGATCTCCCAATTTTTTTTTCACTCAAGCATGTCTTCTACCTTCATGGCATTAAAGATGCAGAATAGCAAGACTCTTATCACAGAAACGAGTAATAATTAAGAAACCTAAGCCAGAATGTCTTTAGAAAAGAAAGAAAAAGGGATTTTATAAGAATAAGTAAGTAGACTTGTAATAGAGAAACAAAGATTAAGGAATACCAAGAAAACACACAATTTCAAAATGCTACTCCTTCCATCAAGGGCACTCACAAGATCAGAAGCAGCACTATGATGCTCTGTTAAAAAGTTTTAGAAGGCAAAATGATCTGTTGCCCAATAACATTTTCTTTACATGCTTTCAAGAAGATACATCAGGAAAATAACCTAATTTCATTCCAGGACTAATCATTCACACATTAATGTCTCTTCCTCCTCCCCAAATAAACTGGGATTTCACCGGGGCTACAGGTGTTTTATCCCTTAAGCTTCAGGTTATTTCACTCTAAGCATCAGTCTGTTTTTAGCATAGCCTGTGGAATTAATAGTTCTTATTTGTGAAAAAATAAGTTTTGTTTCTAGGAAATAATGGTTCTGCTTACAAAATTGGGAAAGAAAGGGAATACTATTCCCTTTTCATCAGTTGTTTCTGAAAGCATTTTTCAGTCACTTGCTATTAATACACACATATTCATGTATATATAAGGAGAACAAGTGGAAAGGCTATTCAATACAATTAAATGCAAAATAAGCAGTCCACACTCACGTATAAAGCTATCGGCCAAATTACATGAAGTTTTGTGTGAATAAACAAAAACAGCTATGGAAAATAACTACTCTATCATGATTAAGAAAGCCCGCAAATGTGGATTTTTAGAAGCTAAGAAGTTGGAAGGCTCTACACAACTGGAATTGCTAGTACAGTGAGTAATTACTCAGAGAAACCTTCTATCTGGTCACAATGATTATACTTCAAATTTCTTCCACTAATAACAGCTATTTTTATACCTCCTATGATAGACTTTTCTGCCACTTGCACCATGAAGAGACACTTCTTTCAATTTATTCTCTCTGACAGAAGTACAACCACTGCCCATAAAGGAACACTATCTATGTGGATAGATTTGGCATAAGACTTTTAGTATTTCCTGTTCTATGTAGGAAGGATTAGCTGCTTCCTGAATTAATCACTTGGTCCATCAACTTTCCACCACTATGTTTTCCAGCTGTTCACATGACAATTTCTTAAATCTGACAGTAAACACTCATGGCACAAAAGATCAGTAATGTAAAACCTATTGCCTCAGATCATATCAGGACAGAAATTACATAATTATGCAACTTTTTTTTTTTTTCTGAAACAATATCAGGCTGCAAAACTTCCTGGGCTTGAGGGCCCAACTCCTGCAAAGATGGAAAAAGGAGAGTGCTGCAGAAAGACAAGGAATCAGCAATTCTTTTAACTTCTAAGAAAATGAGAGCATGAATATTACTTTCTACATGATGAGGCTTTTTGCACAAAACCCATTAAAATATATCTCAACTGGGGTGCCTGAGAAAGTCAGACAAGAGTTAAAAAGGAGCTTACAGGGTTTAACACCTCCTGGAGGTGGGCTTCCACTTTGGCATAAAAGCTGGTTACTTCAAAAACAGAGGAAGTCTATAACAAGGTTCTTCGTAAATATTGAAGATAGCTAGTTACTCATCAGCTTTATCTACTTGTTTTCATCCCAAAGGTCTCCTCATCTTCATGCAAAGAATCAGAGATCATTCTCCCTTACACTACTTCAGTAAGGCAACAGAAAAAGTGATAACGTTGTTGCAACCAACAAATAGTTACAAGGACTGAATGATATCCGAAGTAAAGCAGACTGACTTGCCCACATTCTTACATTAAACACAGTCCCAAAATCTTATCCAGCAAACAAAGTTCATTTGCTAAAACATTATACCCAATTAATAATCCCATAAAGTTTCCACCTCTGAGAAACACTGCCTATTTTCTACAGTCTGAACTAGTAATTACAGCTTCATTCTTACCTCCCCTACACAGATCCTCTGCTATTTTAGATAGTTACATCTTAGTTTTCACAGCTGGGTACTGTCCCTAAGTTGTGTGTTGCCATGTCTCATCAGTTAAGTAATCAGGATTTCTGCTGATGACTTACAAAAAAACAGACGTTGTACCCTGATGACTTTGTCCAATCAGCAAGCATATAAGACTCAACATCTTGACTATACATTCTGCAACTTAATTTTCCATCTATGAACAGGAATAGACAATGTCATGTCTTACAAAGAGTTACCTCTAAAGATTCCTGGTTGCAGAACATTCATAAAAAAAAGTTCTATATGAATTGAAAGTATTGGAAAGTATGTTTGCCTAGAGAAGACCTTTAAAGAAGAGCATAAAATTCTGAAAGCTACCTAACTAGAAAAACACTATTCAGTCTGTGCATCAATGAACATATGATCCTGAATTTTTAAAAGTGAAAGTAAAATTTTAAAAGTATTAAAATTCCTCATAACACTTACATTCAAGGCAACAAAATGGAAGTGGTATGGGCACACTCGTTCTGTATTTTCTGACTTTCAGAGATGACTTTTCAGCTTAATTAGTATTTTACTGTAGTTTAAGCGTAACTTTAAAATCACCATTACAAATTCTGAGCTGCCTTCAATAGAAAAAAAACCCAAAGCACAAGTGTGCATGTAGAAACCAACTATTAGTAGTCCATTTTATACAATAAAGTTCTACATAGTAAAAAATGGAAAAATTAACTAACTACATGACCTATGAAAAACTATTCTAGGAATTAAAGGAACATTTTCATGGAAAAGATATTGTAAGATTTTTTTCCCAGGGTATAACTGATTTACAGAAGATTTGTACTCACTTTCCTAGCTTAAGAAGCTTCACATTTTGTTAATTGACTATATACAGTTTTGTGAAAGGCACAAAATTACACGAGAAGTCTAAGGTATTGCTCACCTATATAAGCAAAAGGTGATAACTAGATCATTGAGGGGCCCATGAGAGTGCTTCTGCTGTAAAAGCACCAAAGGGAGTGAAATGAGCAATTTAAACCCTAGACCACATTTAAAGCTAAACTTTTTTAAAATTTATTTAAGAGGTTTGAAACTAATAAGCAGCAATATATATTGAATCAATGGAAGTGAAGTAAAACTGAGATTGAAGCTATTTAAATATCATTGCAGCTTTAAATAAAAATGTTAGTAATAGATTAACAGTTTGGTCATTTACAGTGTTTATTCAAAGAGAATGTACTGGAAATAGACTAAGGCTGCTTAGTTTAGGGTATACCCACATGCACACCAATTCTGCAGTACTTAAGACTTATTAAATGGTCTTAGGATTTCATAGACACACTTTAAAGAGTAGAACAAAAAAGTCTTACGATACTATAAAAATTTATACATTAATCCACTGACTCATGGGGCTTTTTTCTGCTTTAAGTTACTAGGGACACTTCATTAAATGTATTTATACTCCTAAATCAGAAATTTTGTCAAAAATTGATCCTGGATTACATCACCGTAAAATGCATGACACTGCTTTTTACCTCCAGATCCTAGCTGCTTGTAGAATCTGTATTCCAAATGCAGCTGTGGTGCTCTCGACTTCATTGGCTCCTGATTTAAAAACAAAAACAACATTTAAAACAAAGCCTCTCTGCCAAAGCCTAAAAACTAACACACTAAGCTACTACCAACCATAATAACCCTACTGCTTCCAAGTCACATGGGAAGTCTGAATGTTTCTTCCAAAATGACTGGTAATTACGAAACTAAGAAACCTCAGCTTCAGTCAGATGAAACTAGAGCATATACGGACTTTTACGTCATCTGTTGCTCCATGGGGCTAGGGTCCAACATGCAAACCGCATCACAGACCCACAATGGAATAGCTGAAAAATAATTTGTCTCCAAAGCATGTGGGTGACGTATCTTGCAGGTCTCAAAAGGTGGCATTCATATGCACCTTAACAGATCAAAAAGACTCTCTACACACCTACTATAAATGACAGATGTAAAAAAAAAAAGTTTTGTCTTAGGATCTTGACCACAAAATATCAAATCCTTCCACCAAATAGTAACAGCTTAGCAGAAATTAAGTAGCACCATTCTAAACTATAAATCCAAAACAACAAAAAAAGCACCAGAATTAGTTTGTAGTTTAAATCTTTCTTTTCCCAACATAATTTACATAATTTTATGAAATCTTCATTCTGTGTTCTATGTACTAATGTGTCAGGGTCTCACAGAATAAAGTGACATGAGGTCAAGCACAGGAACACACAAGCAGCCTAAATGAAAGCCCTAACTTCTTCAGTATTTCTGTTTGCACAGTAAAGGTGCTTTATCATAAGATCCTTAAAATAACTTGCTAGAGCATCTTTTAGAAGATATGCCTGGTTTCTTGCGGTATGTAACATCTTCCAATGCACTGGTGAAAATTTGGACGTTAACTGTGCATTGCTCCTACACAGAATGCTCCTACTAGAATTGCAGCACATAACTAGTAAGATTGTTAATAAACTTATCAGCAATAACTGATACTGCTGGATATAAATTTTCAGGAAAACTTTGGGCAAGGTGCTCATCTCTTCCCTCACACCATCTTCTTCAGTTCATTAAGCTAACAGTTTATTACACTGTGTTGTTTCCCAGTGGCACATCCAGACCACAGAAACCATGAGCCAATGTGCAACCATGAGAAACTTAGTCCTCTTCCTCAACTGTCTCCCTCCAATACTCAGATATTTCAAACTGCTGCTGCTGCTACAGCCGAAGTCCCTATCAGGATACATTTATGTATTTGATTTTGCCAGGATACCAAAGGTTCATGCCCAAAAGTAAGCAGGGGCTAATGTAACAGTTTCTACAAAAAAAACAAACAGAATGTAATACATGGTTTTTATGCTCCAGAGCATTCATCCTACCTGAACATGAATTCTTTGCAAAGAAGAGAGCAGGAACTTTCTAAAACAAAACAATGTTGATCCTTCACAAACTGTATTACTAAGCAAGACTAACTAGGCCACCAAAGGGTCCTACTTACAGTTTACGAGAAGACGACATGAAATTTGTTGTTAAGTATCAAAGACAGGTATCTCTTAACAAAACACTTTGCTGTAAACATGGGCCTAAACAAACCTTTAATATTCAGCTTTCAGAGGTTTAAGTAAATCCATTATGAAACATGTTACATGAAATATTTTAACCTTTTACAAGACCACATGAATTTAGCTACTAGTTTGCCTGCAGGAGTATTATACAACTCTATGAGTTACAAAATATATCACACTCTACACAGTCTCTAATTAAAGCTTGTAATTCTGTCTGCTAAGAGGAAAATATTTTAGTCCATGAAACGCTATGTGTCTGCTGAGTATACTAAGACACTGGCTTACAGGCAGTTTTATTTTGTTCAGTTACACAGTTTTGCCTTAATAGATAGTACATTAACAACTTCATCACCACTCAATGTTATAAGACGCTCCCATAATAAGGATGAAAAATAGCTTGTATTAAACTTATGTAAACAGATTTTTTTAAATTGTCTTAGGGAAAAGAAACTTCCAATTTTTTTACATACACATCTACACTTTTTCAAATGAATGCTCTTTGTTCCAGTCACCAGCAAGAAACAGCCTCCAGAAGGCAAGAGTTCTCAGTCAAACAAGTCTACTTGACAACTGTACACCAGCCAAAGACTGAATTTAAACCCTGTCTAGCAGAAAGACAATTAAATACGTCTACTCCCTCCAGCAATAGTGGAAAAAAAAGTGGTAATATGTACTTGTAGTATATTTATTGGTTGACAGTTCTTTAGAATTGCCTTGTTTTTGTAAAGAGGCTTAAATATCTTCCTGACTGTTCAGTAACTCCACACATACAAAGGAACTACAGTCTTCTGTTCAATAAAGATTGTTAGAGGGCAAGAGCAACATGCTCTTCACATAAAATTTGCTTTGTTCCTATACATATCACTTTGCAGTATGCAGTGACTGATAAATGATAAAAGATAGATAAGGATAAATCAAGACAAAGGTATGTTAAATGTAATCTTCCATCATAACATCACAGTGAAAAATGCACCACTGTAACTACATTTTTATAAATAAGTCTAAAAAGTATATTCAAAAACAAACAAAAAAAAAGAAATGCCAAATCATGGTTCTCTCTATTTTCATTAGTAGTTCAGTACATTTCAGCATGTAAAAATGATCTTGGGAACACATAACTGTTCAAACGTAACGTTAATCCCACAGGATTTTGAAGTCAACTTCTCCATTTACCAAAAGAAATTAGTGGGTCTTGTCTACTTGAAAAAACTAAGGTCTTTCCTAAAGAATCCTGAAAGAACTGTTCCAGGATTTCTGCAATGTTCTGTAAACGATCCTCATTGAGCTGCTTTTACATTTGCATCTAATTATTTCAAAGCTTCTGTTTTAAAACTTAGATAGCTTCTTCTCCCTGGAAAAGAGCATTCCACTGTCTTAAAGAGGAACTCAGGGTCTTGCTGCCAAAGAATTAACGTGCAGTTTACTAAGCACCACATATACCTGAGCAGCAGAAACAAGAGCTCCTCAGTTCATCAGCAAGGTTTTTTTTGAAACAAGATTTTCCCTCCTTTTTTCTTTTGTGGGATGCTTACACATTCAAACAAAAGGATAAAGACATCTGAAATGTGAAATCTGTTTCAAGTTCATAATGTTCTGATTTACTTGCAATTACTTTGTGCCAAATACAGGCAAGAAACTACTATACAATTTTCAAGATACGTCACTTCCCTTCTAAAGGGCTTTGAGAAAACATTTTACTTACTCTAAACATAAAATTAGATTTTTTCAAGAACTCAAAGCACAATATAAACATTCAGCTATTACCCACTTTTCGTGTTTTCAGTAATCCAGTGAGAACTCGTACTCAGTATACCTCTTGTCTCTGCTTCATATTTTCTTAAGCAACAGCGAACAAAAGCTACTTTCAGGAAAAAAATTCTTTAAGAGGTAGGGCTCTCATTACAGGAAAAGATCAGTCTATTAAATAGAGTTGCACTTGATTTGGATTTACCACAGCATTCTAGAAAAGTTCTGAAGTGGTATCATTCTAGACTGCAATAATTCTTTTAAAGCAAAAAAGGAAGAAAAAAACATTCCAGCCTTGGAACAAATCGCAATCTTCTTTCCACACACACCCCAATTATAATTTTAATGATTAAAATCTTCACAGTTGAATAATTAATGACTCAATTTATTAAAGATTACAGATTAAAAGCAGCAGTGACTACCTCATAACTTGTGTCTTTCACACAAAGACAGAAAGAAAAATTTACTTATTTCCAGAAGCAGCAAGCAAAGATTCCTTTAGTTGGTATTTGGTTAAGCATCCTGTAGAGGAGGTAAGTTTGGGCAATGGAGAAATTTGTCAAAAGGGAAAGGAAGAACTGAATAGGAGGTTTAAGTGAAGCAGAGGATCATGTAATAAAATATATAAATCTAAGAATAAATGAAGAGGTGAGCAGGAAAGGTACAGTTCATGTACACTGAATGGTTATTGCTGAAGAACTACCTGATCACAAGATGCCAATTTGTATGCTAGCAGACCAGCAGACACATACAAACACCACTAAGCAGTGCACAAGCGATAAAGCCCAGTTCGTAAGGGTCTCATTCCATTTCTTAAAGAAGTCTGTTCTAACCTTCCCAACTTGACTACCTGCCCAGACAGAACAGGACATAATGAAAGAAGCCAGATTAAGAGTAAGATCCTGGAACTGTAGCTGTTTTACCAGAATAAATATGCATCTACATATAAATTTTATACATTAAAATGCATACCTTGTATGACCCTCAGGTCTCACAGAGAAAAATTACATGTTTAAACTATTCCCTTAAACAACTAAGTCCTGCAGCTGCCAAAAGCATCATAAACAGGAACATACTTGTACAATTTTGTTCACAAGGGAAATGTTCAAGTCAAAACAGTAGTTACAAAGTCCATTTACTTTTAACATCAGAAGCACTCCTGCAAGCTGCTCTATAAATTCAGCCACTATAATTTATGCTCTCAAGAGAAACCCACACATCCTCCTGCAGTAGAGTATACCGTTACTATTTACACACAAAACATCTGGCTTAGGAGATGTCTTGCTGCTCACAAGAAAATAACAGGATACTACCATGAGGAATACAAATACAATTTTAGGATACTGCAGGAGAGAGATTACCACAACCATGCCTGCCAAGGACAACTGTTCAAACTAGAATAAATACATAATTCAAGTAACTCCATTCAGGAGGGTTAAACTTCAACTACAACAGGTGCAAACTGGAGAGGAAATTAAGAGTGCCTTATTTAAGATAACAAAAACTGAACACAGGACTAAGGACTGCTCTCAAAGCACAAAGGGAATACGTGCCAGAGATAGGGAAAAAACTGTTAGGCTTACATTTTAAAAGTGAAAGGACAGTATACCACTAGCATGTACAACCTACCTAACTGCTAAAATAAAGTCCTGGCACTGTCTCAATAGAAGAAAAACAGCAAAAAAGCAGAATTCAACTAAATCCTACAATTTCATGCAGCTGCTTTTAACCAACTGAACCTTGTGACCCAGATATCTTCCAATTTGGAAACAAATTCAAAAGAGCTGAAAGACATTAAAAACTTATAATTATATTAGAACCTACTAGTTCTACCTGCTAATAAACATATTTGTACCTCACAATGATGATGCAAGCTCCAGTGTTGATTTTCACTACGATTCCTTCCGTCTGTTGTTTATCACAAAGACACTACAGCATTTCATACTACTAATGTAACAGGACAACTCAAAAAGTTAACTACATAGACAGAGTTCTTTCAAGCATTAGTAGTAAATTACAGACATACTTTACTACACTGTTTCTTCAGTGACTTCCAAGTAAGTTATTCAATAAATGATACTTCAAGCTCTTTGCACAGCTGTAAATGAACAGCTGTAAGATTGAGTAATTTGAAAACAAATGAAGTAGAAGTTGCCACTGAACAGTGTCTTTGAAAGTTGAAATAGGTCGAAATAGTAGCTCAGTTTACTACTAGTTACATATATAACAAAAATGGCTTTATCAAAATCCACTGGTCAGATTAAAAAGTTCTTTTGCTCTCCATCAAGTAATTAGGGCTTAAAAAAACCAAAAACTGGCAAACTACTTCTGAATGTGCTTTATAGTAAACAGCCTTGAACCAGAGGAATTCTCAGACAATTTTCAAGTTTTACCAGACACACAGAATAAGTTAAAGATATTTTAAAACAAAATTAATTTAAATCTGGTATAACACACACACAATAACCCTCAAAACTGCATCCCCTGTTGCTCTTTCAAACCATAACTTGCACATATTTAAAAACGTAACTACTCCCAAAGGAAGTATTTTTCTAAGCAAGGGCAGTGATACAAATATTTTTCAGGAGTTTATTATATACATTTGTAATGCTTTTTACATTCCCCATCTAAAGCCATATATTTCTGTTTCCACAGTTTATCCTTCATTTTATGGAACCCGAAATTCACCATACTATGCTGTGAAAAACATTCTGTGCTACTACAACAATACAGAAATTGATGGCAGTCCCAGAATTCCTTCAATGAGAAAAAGTAAACAACTTAATTGCATCTTGAAATACTTTGATTACAAAAACAGTTAATTACCAAGAAATTAAAAGTACCCAGAAGCAAAACATTAAGTAAATGGAGTAGTTCTGATGAGATTCAGAAAAAGCATTCATAAAAATGACACATTAACAAACATCAAAATTTCCCATGTTTGTAAGTGAAGGAAACATTTACACATCACTGCAGATAAAACGTGTCTACCAAAACAGATATGCAAATACCAACAATCACAGATGACAAATAGTTTGGGGCAGGACTAACAGTGAACAAATACAGGCCGTCTGCAGAATTTCTGGAGCTTCTCTATAGTCACCCGATGTCAGATTTGCATTAAATTTGGTGGTTTTCTGCTTGTTGCACAAAAAAAGAATCTACTGACTGCTGAGTGTATCCTTGAAGCAGCGGTCAATCATCACTGACTTTAGAAAGGCAGATTTAGCCTTCAGAACAATTAACACTTTTTACTCAATGTGGCCAAAGTATGTAATTACATCTATCATTAACTGATTTCATCTAGTCAGTTGAAAACACACAAGACTATGAAGGATTCCATTTAAGGAAATCAAACCATTCTATATGAAAGGAAAATTCTGATTAGTTTCTCATCCCAAATCCTTTAAAAAAAAAAAATTAACTTACCAGCTTAATTGCCACATATTCATTTGTGTATAAATTTTTCCCTTGAAAAAAGAACAAAAACAAGAATGTGAGTCATTGTCTTTCCTGTTCAAGTAAAACACCATTTAAACCTCAAGGAAGTCTTTGAGACATTTTCGATCTAAAGTGCTAGGTGTTCTGGTAGCAACTTAAAAAAATGTAGCCTTATTAGTCTGATACCATACTTTAAAGAGAATTTCATTCTTGAATAGTGTAAGAAGTGGCATTTTCACTATCAGAGCATTTCAGCTATTTCACCAAGTTTGTAAGTTTTTTTATACACTAGAAAAGCTTGAAAATCGGTAAATTACTGTAAGTGGAAAGTGATAATCTGTATTTTTAGATTCACTGCTGAAAACAATTTAAAAATTATTTTTAAATTATCGTATGGTTTTGGAAAGCCAGACACTGATTAAAGTTAGAATTACCTAGGACTATTTTTTCTTTAATTCTATAATTTACTAAGCTTAAAGTTAGGACAAACAGGGCAATAATATTACCAAGTTAAATGCTTACACTATTTGGAAAATGCATCTGCTGCTTTAAAAGTAAATGGATAAGCATATTTCAGTAAGCATTACTTCAAACTCTATGTAATTACTAAAATATTAAACAAGCTATATAGGTGTAAAATTAAAAAATAGCAGACAAAGGAAAATATAAGTTGTCACTTCCAACACTTTTCATTCCTCTACAGTCTTGAAATGAGTTTAGTGTGATTATTGTTAATGACAAACCTACTTTTTTCTCTATAGTATTACTCAGATCTGAACCTTCCATATTTAGCTTGGTTTTGTTAACAAAATCAAACAGGAAAAAGACATGAACCAATATAAAAAGCTTCCCTGTGAAGACAGTTACATTTATAGTCAAAGACTATGATTTCAGCGCTAATCCTTATTTTTAAAAATAGAGTACTCTTCCAAAACTGAAAAAGAAGATGTATTAAAACCACATGTCTGTTAAGGGATAAACTTTACAAAAATCAAGTTACCTGAAGGCTGTACAATAATAAACATAGAATCAGAATGGGCAGCATGCCCTAATCTGACCACCGGAAGAATGGATAATTTCAAGCCTATCCAGGGACTAGAGTGTAAATTCAGACATCTTAAATAGTTATTTCTTATCTTAAGATCTTTTGAGTTACGTTTTTGACAAAGACTGTACTTTGTTTGAAGCTGCTTCTGTGTCTTTGCAAATTATTACAATCTAGAAGACATTAAAAGAAAGAAACAAAAAGAATCTTTTGCAGGTGTTCTGCTCATTCAGGCTACTAGATACATAAATCACATGTAACTACAGTTAAGTGACTCAATATTGGGTTCCAATAGCCAAATGCAGTAATAACAGGCTTATTCTGAAGAAACATCAGAAGGGACGTTATAACTTTCCACATGGTGATTCACGACAATTGCTTTTTAAAATATGGAAACAGCAGATTTGACACCGCTGTTGATGTCTGTCTAGACAGAATAGATGCTGCATGTGATGCATTATGCAATAACAACAAGCTTTCTTTTACTACCCCATCAGTTTGTTAAATATAGTTCAGAAGAGCCTTAAGATTAACAGCTCAATATTTAAAACAATTTAGTCCTTTGCAAGTTACTGGCTGCACATCACACTCATTTGCTACATAAGGCAAATTCACCATTTGATCCACAAGCCACTATAGAAGCCTGGCCATTCCTTTCTTCTCAGGTGGGAGAACTACAATGGCTACCAATTTGTAACTGAACTTTTATCTCCTGAAGGGCAACTTCATAACTTTTTAACAACTTTATTCCTCTTTTAAGTCTTTAAGATTCAACACTATAATATGTGCTCAAAATATATTCCAGTTTGCAGAAGTAAATAAAACAAATGATGTAGGAAGGATGCCCACTTTAAGTTACTTGCTACTATAGTAACGTAAATGTGAAAACAACAAATTTAAATCAGAATCTTAACTCCTGCTTTCGGTAACTTACATTTAAAACATCTTACCCCACAAACAACACTAAATAAGGATCTGAAATATCTACTATATATGCAAAAATACAGATGTTAAAAAGAGAAAGCCTGCACTTGTCCTGGTGGCTGTTACAGGTCAGTACGCTACACTATTATCTTCCTCCTATTTCTTTTACTTGTTTGTCCTGTTTTATTTCAGTCCTATCAGACTTTAAGTCTTAACTATTTTAATACTGTATTTAGAATGAAATAGATATCATTCTGTATCTGCTGCAAGCAAACGAGTTAATCCGATATTGACCTGAAATAGATAATCAACTCTATATTGTAACCACTCTAAGACGACAGGAAAAAAAGTTAACTTTATCAGTTTACAGCTGCCTTCAGTAGTAAATGTAACATTAATTGTATCAGTTTGATTTAGTTCATGGAGAGGTTTAAAATAAAAATTATCATTCAAAGCCAGTTTAGAAAAGTTTAGGAAAAGTTGAAGACCGACTTTCAGCTAGACTTTGTGAATGGCAGAGGCACATATGTAACACTGTAAACGTCAAAATATATCAATCTTGTTTAACTATTAATAGGAATAACAAGAGCGACTCTTATTGAGACCTCTTAGTGGAGTCAGAGCTCCAACAATGGTATCTTTCATCCCTCTACAGTATTAATACACTAAGCTTGTTTACATTCTGACTCAGACCAGATATAAGGCCCCCAGAAAGCACTATATTAAACATTAAAATTTTATGCATGTTATAACATGCACATATAAAAACATTATGTTTTATGCAAGCACTATATTAAAAACATTCTCCAAAAGACAAAGAATACTAGTTCTACCAGAGGCAGATAATCAACAGAAATACAACACCTACATAGCCCACACCACTCTCAAACACCCTACTTTCGAACCCACCTCTCTCTAAACCTTGAAGCAGTGCATTTACTCAAGCCTTCCAGGGATACTGGAATAAATTCCTGCCATTAAGTGTCAAGTTATATTTCTTAACATACACGGAATTCCCAGATCTTGAAAACCCTGACTGATTATGCTGTCATCATGGAAATTTTAAGTTCCCAAAACCAAATATATACTCTTCCAAAAGCACACACCCATCATCTAGTGTCTATTTTAATAAACAGTAAAATTTCCAGCTTTACTGCTCCAATTCTTCAAAATTCCACAGGTCCTTCTCAGTCTGTCCCTTCTTCATCATTTGATTTTCATCCATCTGTTCAGCAGAGAACTAAGTGACTGAATTACCCATCTCCCAGATTCTCTCTACAGATAGATTCTTCCTGTTCCTGTCTAACAACAGCTCACCGTTTAGCCTCACTACACTGCTGCTGATGGAAAGGAAACCAAGGAATCCAAGAGCTTGCTGCTGTTAAAAACATTGTAGTGCCTTCCACACTGTCTCCAAGAGATCTCCAAGACCACAGTATTATAAGCCAGACCTACAGGAGGAGGATGTGTTTCATGTACAGTTAGCCCCAAATACACCTGAATAAACCGCTTCAGGAAGCCAGGAAAGGTAGCAAAATACAACCACCACGAAGTAATTTCCAGCATCTTGAGGAGACAACTGACTGAATTTAGGATAGCACCATACACAGTTATGAAACATTTTTAGTCCCAGAAAGTCTCCTGCTACAGAAATTCTTAATATGTGATAGAGCTTGCACTGGCCAGGGTCAAAAGATGTGCAAGGCAAATTTAACCTATCTGAACCCTGAAAGTAGTTTGAAGAGCCATATGGTGTGTTCACATAGACATTTTCATGCCTAGACTACATACAACAGCCTTGAATAATGTAAACTGAAATAAAGAAACAAGGATCTTACCTAACCGTAGTTCTCCAAAATTACCGCAGCCAATTTTTTTGCCAACTCTGAAGTTAGGGCCAACCATTAACACTCCAGAATTTGAAGAACCAGTTCCACGTGGATTATGGCCTGACCTCCCACTAGGCCGTGCCATTCTTTCATCTGGCTTGTCCTTGTCTTTCTTTTTATTATCCATGCCAAGTTTACAGTACTCCACTTTGATTTCTTCCTCTTTTTAAAAATCAGTATAAGCAAATTCCAATTGGACAATGTGAGAATGAAAACATCACCAGTGGTCAATGTTAGTACGTAGTCAACAGCAGTGTGTTCATCCCATTCGCAAAGCCTTGGTAGTATCTGTAGTAAAAATGTATCTCCAGAATGCACAACACCAGCAGTATTTCCTAGTATTTACAGGAATTCTGTTAAACAAAAACAAAGTTATTCGATACAGTACGATTCTTGCAACAAATTACCTCTCCCTTCAACTAGTCATACAATTAAGCTATAACTAATTATACTTGCTTTACAGATCCTCTATGAAAAGCACTATCATAAAGTTAAAGCCTTGGATTCTAGCCCATAAAGGCAAGATTGGGGTGACTAAAAATCTCAACACTTAGTGCAACAGATATTAAAAAAACCCAAACAAACAAACAAAAAAAAAAAAAACACCAAAAGAAACCAAACTCCTTCAAAACCACTTCCTGAGCAGGTAAACACACTTAAACTCAACATGTAGACACTCATTGCATCTTATGCCAGCTCTGCAAAAGAAAGCATTTTACCACTTTCAGAAAAAAAACAACAAAACAAAACAAATATCTGTTGATCTAAGGAAATGCTCCAGCTGCACAGTTATTGAAGTTATAGAAAGATATTAAAACTTAAAATGAATCTATTATCTGTTCTGAATTATAATTTCAGATATGCACAATTTATAAACTCACGGCAAGGACACTTCAGTGCTTTCAGAAACTCCTACAGTCTGAAAATATATTTACTTCTTATCCCCTGCCCCATTCAATTATGTCTCAAATTCGCTCCCCCCTCCTCTTGTCCACCATCTAGCATCACTGCCTAGACACTAATACTAACATTGATTTCAGCAAAAACATAATATTAGCTTACTACTGCAATAAAGAATCCAAAGAAAGCCTTCATTTTTTGTCCATAAGAACTTTGTCCACCACTTGCCCATAAGAACAGTGGATACTGTTTTCTAGTTGACAACAGTGGCTTAAAAACCCAAAATTCAGAAGATAGTTAGCTATTACATAGGCAAAATTTCAGGGTAAGTTAAACATCTGTTCAGAATTATTTTGCTACATTTGCTTCAATGTTGGAAATACACTGCAGTAAAAAAACCCACATTCTCTGAAAAAATAATGTATTTCATGTGCAGAAGCTTATTTTAAAGATAGGCAGCAGCAGCTTATTTTAAACACTTTGAAGACACTTTCACTTCTTAAACTCATTTCTCACAATGCAACATAAAATTACTACTCACATCATAGCTTATTAGAACATTTTAAAAATCAAAGAGCCAGTAGAGACAAAATATGAAAGAATATGAACAACCAACCTAACAATTTCATCTGCTGAATCATGGATATTCACAGCACGGTCATAACTAGACGACAGTTAAAAATCACTATCAACAGCTAACTAACCTATCACCTGAAAAAAGAAGTTGTGCAAATTTGGTGAAGAAACATGATCACCTTGCTATGAAAGGGAAATGAAAGATTTCTTCTGATAACAACCAAAAAACACGAAGGCAGGTTCCAGTCCACGTAGACTTGCTTAATGCAAGGGAAAAGGACTTCAGCAGTGAGTAATGAATGCAGTGGTATGGTATGATACAGATAGAGGCATTTACAAGAAAAATTCAAGCATGTTTGGCTACAACAATCTTGCACGTTCAAGCACCACCACTAGATAACCTAAAGTCACTTTCTAAACCACAGATCTCAGAGGAATAGACTCGGTGGGAAGCAATAGGTAATTTTTCCTCACCCACTGTGCTACAAAAGCTAGGGAAGAAATAAGAAAACTAGAAATAGGGTGTATTGAGGTAGGACTTTAAGGGCACCATTTAGTACTTAGAAAGAAGGTCAGTACATTTGATGCAGCAGAACGCATAAATATTTTAAGTACGAAAGGAAAAAAAGACGTTCCATATCTTACTGGTTCTCCAGCGAGAAATAACATGGTAAACAATCCTAGAATTTTTGGTGCTAATACATAGGTTTCACAGCAAATAGGAACAACGCATCTAAGCACAGCATACTACTGCCATCATCAAAGAGTAAAAAAGCATAGACTGTTACTAAAACAATCCTTTGGTAATCTCAATAGCAGTAGAAGGCCAAAGTCCCTGCCACTACATTCCACATGCCAAAAAATCTTCATACTACCCAGTGCTGAAACACATATCTCGGAACAGTGAAAGGCTAGAAAGGCACTAATAGTTCATATCAATGATAAAAACGGGCTCTGCCTCAGAGCTCTACAATGACAGAAGGGACTGGGTATGGAGGCAAACCTGAAGCAATCCAAATCTGAGTTCAGAGTTAATAGGATTCTTAGCTTACAAGTTTTCCATAGCTTACCTGTTAGCATATATACAATATCTAATCACATGTCAAATTAGTTTAAAATTGTATTCTTCTAATGCATCACAACTTAATTTTAGAAGGATGAAATTTTTAGTTTTGTCATTTATTTAGGTTTCCTCATTTTGTCTTTGTATTTAACTATCACCCGAGCACAGCATGTAGCCTTGCTAACTAAGCAGAAAACCCAGCTGTAACAGGCTGGGTTCAGAAGGTGTTAAGTAGTAAGCCATAATGCATCAGGAGCATGGAAATAACAATGAGGCAACTTGAGGACAAAAGGCACCAGAAATTCAGTAGCAGCACTAAGGCAATACTGACCTCTAAGAAAGCAGTTGTGAGCCAAAGAAAGTCCACCACCACCAGAAAAGCTTCCAATCTCACACTGTTTCAGCTCATGCAGCAATAAAACAGTACCACAGGAGCCAAGCTGGGAGTTCAAGGACAGATTATTTAGTATTTATGCAAAGCACATTAGCTGTGCTGTGTCCATGCTTGTCCTCATGAAGCCTTGTAGTTAACATGACACTGAAGCTTTGCCATCAAGAAATCAATTTGCACAATACATTTTTTTAACCCATCTATAATCATAGGAAGATCTTTAATTTGGAAAGTCCACATCATAACCAAGCCCACTCCTTAATAGTTTCATGTTACCAGAGATTAAGACTTGCAATACATTTAGAATCTTCATTTTAAAGTTAAACCCTATCTGCACACCCAAATACTGTTTTCCACAATTTAACAATCTAATATTTTAGGTATCAGTTTGTTTATGCACTAATGGCAACAGATTTTCTAAAGCCAGTTTATACTAATACTACAGTCTTCATTGAGAGAATTTTTTCCTGATTACTCAACACACACACCGCCTCAGCCACTGAGAAGGTCTTATTATGTAACACTGCACTTCTAAACAATCAAATCAGATACTCTTTTAAGCAATTTGTAACATTTAAGTTAATGTATTAATTAAAACAGCCAATTTGGAACAGAATCCTGTCAAAGAAACCAGTCTTCACTCTGAAACTGAAATTAGAGCAGTTAAGTTTTAATTAGTTTCAAATTAGGTTCAAATTTATGATAAATCCTTTTGCCTTTTTTTTTTTTTTCTAAATTTTTTGCAAGGTGCTCACTCAGCTGCTTTCTCACTCTCCCTCCTCAAAAGGACAGTGGGAAGAAAATTAGATTAAAAAGCTCATGGGTTAAGGTCAAGACAGGGAGATCACTCACCAATTACGGTCACGGACAAAACAAACTTGACTTTGGCCAGATTAATTTTATTTATCACCAATTAAAATAGTGTAAGACAGCCAGAAACAAAGACAAAGCTAAAAACACCTTTCCCCACTCCTCCTTTTACCAGGCTCAACTTCACTCTTTCACTTCCCACTCCCCTACCTCCTCCCCTTCCCTGAGCAGCACAAGTGGGAGGGGGAATGAGGGTTGTGGTCAGTCCATAACAGCTCTTCTCTGCTGCTCCTTCCTCCTCATGCTGTTCTCCTGCTCCAGCATGGGTCCTTACCATGAGGCACAGTCCTTCAGGAACATCCTACTCTAGCATGGGTCACCTATGGGGCACAACTCCAGCCATAAAACCTGCTCCAGTATGGGCTCTTCTCCATAGGCTGCATGCAGCTCCCGCCAGGAGCTCTCCATGGGCTACTTTCCTTCAGGACATATTCACCTGCTGTGGTGTGGGGTCCTCCATGAGCTGCAGTGTGGATATCTGCTCCAGCATGGTTCTCCATGAGCTGCAGGGGGACAACTTGCATCACCATGGTCTTCTGCAAGGCAATCTCTGCTCCAGTGCCTGGAGCACCTCCTCCTCCTTCTCCTTCTTCACTGATCTTGATGACTGCAGGGCTGTTTCTCTCACAGCAGCTGCGCGGCTCTTTTTATCCTTTCTTAAGTTTCCCACAGGCACCACCATCTTCACTGCCGGGCTCAGCTGTGCCCGCCCTGTAGTGTGTCCAGCACAGGACAGCCCTGGCCTCTCCTCACAGAGACCCCTGCTAGTGCCTGGGCACAGATATCCGGCGAATTTACAAAAGAAACACTCATGTCTTTCAAATTTGTGAAATTCTAAACACTATAGGTGAGCAACTGGTTTTTTTTAAAGCAGCAAGTGCTTCCAGGAGAAACAGTTTACCACATACTTTTCAATTTAAGAAACCACCAAAACCTCTGAAACTTTTGTGTCTGCACACAGACCCACCACAAGCTGATTGCCAGATGTCATTTTAAAATTGAAAATGCGGTAATAGAAAAGATAAGTTACAATGGATTCAAGGGATAAAGATAAGCTTGAGTATAAGCTTCAGTATTTATCAAGTAGATTAGTTTTGTAAATGGTACTAGCACTTTGAAAGCCGACCACAAAGCAGGGAAAAAAAAACCACAAATAAAACCCAATAGAATACTTTAGAGTAAACAGTAAATAAATTGATTACTGAATTCCTTCCTTAAAAAAAATTTCTCATAATCTTTTGAGTGTTTTACTGAAATTTAAGGCAACAATGCATGAAACCAAACACATTATTAACAACATAAATTTCAGTTTCCAAAAAAGCATCTA